GCAGATGGTGCAGACGTGGACCTATTTATCAGCCCATTTTCAACAAGACAAAGGAGCCGACCCAGGGACAATGAACATGTCTTTGGGGATTTCTCAAGCTTTTCCCCGAAGCGAATCTGTCTGCAACCCACTAATATCGAGCTTCAGGATGCAGAAGCTCTGTATATCTCCGTGCATGCCTACTCAGGAGACACGCCAGATGGCAATGACACTACCTCGACAAATACAACTCCGTTGAAATTCAACCTCCGCACAAAAATTATTATGCCAAGAGAGACATTGGCTCCCCTGGAGGAAGCCGAACATGATGCAAATGATACCCAATGCAAAAATTGCCACCAATGGATTCCAGAGCGTACCCTTTTCCTGCATGAAAATTTCTGTCTCCGTAACAACATCCTCTGTCCTAAATGCGAAAACGTCTTTCAAAAACGATCCCCCGAATGGAAAAATCATTGGCATTGTCCACACGATTCCTCCTACGGTAACGACCAATCCAGTCAACTAAAACACAACACAGTCTTCCACACACCGCATGTCTGCAAAGAATTTGGCAGAGGATACGAATCGAGAAAGAGCTCATTGGGAATCTGTATATGGTGACCAACAGCGACCACAGAATGTCTCTGGAATTGAAATCGGGAGAGAGGAGGGTCATGAAATGTTCTCAGGGAATTCAGTAAACAGAACATCCGAGAATCGAATTTACGAGATGGATGCGCTGCGAATACCAGGTAGCGATGCCAGAAACTATACTCCTCACAAGTCGCGAGAATCAATCACCGTAGCTGCAACTGCAATGCCGGCCCAATCCGATACACCCCCTTTCAATAACTCCTCCTCCGGGGGCGCACAAGACACGAAGCCGAGCATAACCCCTGGGCATCAGCCAGGGCTGCACGAATTGCCTGGAGATACTGAGATGCCCGGTTCCGCCAATATCGCAATTAATTCGTCCAGGGCGAATCCATTTGAAGTTAGGATGGATGATGAATGTAGCTCAGTTGCTGCATCGTTGGCAGAGTCAGACTATATGGCATGTGTGCGAAATGACAGGGACCCTGCATTCCGGCAACCGATACATGGGCGCATTGTGGAGAGCAACTGTACAGATGATGGTGGCGACGGATTGGCCTTCGTTAACGACACTCGAAGCATTTCCTCTTCCGTTGAAGTGGAGGCCAATGAAAAACACGATTACAACATGGGACCGGCCTCACAGATAGAAAGCGGCACCCGATGCAGCCCATCCTCCATATATTCTGGTTCTCAAGGAGCGGCTGAACCAACAGCTGTTACGGGAACCCGACTCATCTGCCGTAGGTAAAGTTAATGGCAATGGAGAATCTGTGGAAGGCCATGATACTACTCCTATGATCAAAACTAGATGGGCAGAGTCCAATGGTTCAGAGCAAACCCCAAGCTTACCTGACCGGATTAACGGATGCGAAACTGAATATGCTCCAGCAGACGATAATTCTTTCCCTGGGCCGGAAATCTCCATCAAGAAAACGCCAGATCAAGATGGTAAATTGGTCGAACTGACTGAGGTTGCCACTACTCATTCTCCTGGTTTTGCCGACGCTACTGGCGGATCTACTGCATCTGACCAACTAATATCAGGTAAACACGATAAGCCTAGTGATGTTTCGGAATCTCTTAGCTCGAGCATTCCTATCGCAAATAGATTATCGAAAATACAATCTGTGCTTCTCCCTAGAGTGGAGTTGACATCAGAGTCAGTGGACAGCATTCCCAGCCATACATCCAGAGTGGTGCTCTCCCATAGGACAAACGAATGGGCTAAACATATATCAGATGCTGGGCCTCCAGAGGCCATGGAAGTGGATGATTTGCAACAAGATACAGAAACAGATGAACCTGTTGCTCCTGTTCTGGTATCTGAGCTTCAACAAACCGCCGCAAGCACCTTGTCGTCTCGGGAGTTAGATATCGATAATTCGGCCGTTCCAAAGTCTCAACATGGAGCAGACCCCAGACTAATACGGAGTTCTCTGAGAAAATCGTATATCGGCATACAGACGGCCAGCGATACTCCATCTTCGCCACCCGGCAGATCTCCAAACTCTACGAATAGTTCTCAGACCCCACCAATATATCCGTTACACCGTTCAGGGTCCAACTCCACCCTCGGCGTAGCTGCCCAAGTGGAGACTAATCGAACAAGGCCTACTTCATCCATCTCATCGACGTATAAACCTGCTAGCGGTATTCTGGAATTGAATGAATCACACCACAGGGCTCCATCATTCAGGGGACCTTCCATGTCTTCACCCCCGTTGCTTGCACAGCGCGAATCCGCAATTCGCAACAGATCCCTCCTTCTTCCTTCAAATATTTCATCCGCCACAGTCAATCACTTTTTTAAATCTCAATCCCGACTTTCTCTCAACATACCACAAACTCAACACCGATCAGCGAGTCCATACCCAACCAAGAACACCATATCTGTTGAATCTACAGACGACATTCCGCTCTCTGTCCGTCGCGAGTTAATTCATCGAGGCAACAATTTTCAAAACCAGTCGCAAACACAACCCAACCTTCACCGTCCCGCATCCGTCTGTAGTTTCCCGTCTCTCGATAACATGTCTCTGGTGACTGCTCGGCGTCAATATGAAGACGATTCGCTACAGGTGCAGGATTCGCTACAGGTGCGCGAAGCCAAATTTGCCCGATGGCGTGAATCTGTCAGAAATGAGAATATAATAAAACATTTTCCAGACGCAGCTATGGAGACGCGCTGGGCTGATCTAGTAAAAGAGCATCAGTGGAGTCAGTTAGGGAAGCAAAAGGAGGCTATTAGAACAAGCTATCGCAATTCGGTGATTGAGCAGGCGATGAGGAATGGAGATATGCTATCCATGCATAACGAGGCACTGCGGAGGATGCAAGCGTCGGCAAATAAGCATGCTTCAGGGACTCACTCGCCTGCTTCCTGACAATAAAGACCAGGGCTCTGCGCTTTTATTAAGTTTGCTTTCCCCCATCTCCCTCGTTGACGGGCAGTAAGTTCTCTGTATATGATTTTTCCCCTTCTTCTGGTTTTCTTTCTAGGTTTTCTGGGAGAGTGCCTAGATATCTGTTTGGTACTTGTGGAAGGGATATGCTTACAAACGGACTGCCGCTTCTAAACTGTATATAGATCACGATTTATTTTTTTTCCATCGTTTCACGCTTCCATAGGTACTAGATTTATGAAAACAATATTTTACATACTCCATTGGAGTAACTAGAAAGAAACTTATGTTTCTTCAGGGGAAGAGGAGTCAAATTCGAGCCATACCTCAACTTTCCCCTTAATCCTCCGTGCATGTAACCTCGGGGTCTGAACAACTCTACTGCTTAATGTTTATTAATTCCTCATTTCCCAGATTAACTACTATCATTGATGCCTTCTATATGCGTCTCAATGGTGCCATGCCTTTCTCAACACAAGAGGTGGCGGAGGAGTCGAGGTGTTCAGATGGAAAATACCATATTATAAGCCTGTTATATGAAATTGCAACGTGGTATACGCAGTAGAGTTGCGGCTACACATTGCGACCCTGACCAATCCCCTCCTTGTGTGTCTTATTACCCAGACTCTCGCTGTAGAAGGGTCCTTTGAAGGGCGGGTTCCGATGAACTCGCGATTAGCCAGCAGTTCATATCCGTGCGTGCCAACCATTCAAGCGTATGTTGAAAAAAGAAAAGAAATCCAAAACAGAGGAATGTCTATTTTGGCTAGTTGGTCGGCAGATGATTTCTGGCCGCTGACCAGGCCTTCATGGTTGACAAATCAATATAACTATCTGGGAAAGTTGCGTACATACAGTACCCATAAGAACCTTGGTGTAACATATAATCACTAAGTTTCCCTGGTTTGATTATCGTCTTCTTCTTGTTACAGAAAATTCTAGAATATGCACAGTAAAACTTCAAACCGCAATGTTACTGCTATTATTATTAAAATTTTTTTATTACACACACACACACACATATATATATATATACATATCAATTCCTGCCGCATGCCTGTGCATCCTTCTGTTGATGTCATTCGCATTTTCCGCCCAGGCAAGAGATTGCTTAATGCATAACCAAAAACACTTTGACAAATATGAGGGTTGGTTATAGAGGTCATCATTGGCACCATTACACGGTTTCAAGGGTCTCTTGACCTGTGTCAATTGGCTTCGGACATGACCATAACGAATAAATGGTGAAGGGTTAAGACTCGTCTGGGATCCGAGAGAGAGCCCTCGAGGTAAATAACGTCATCATATAGCTGCGGCGTCTACCCAGGGGCGGCAACAGAACAAGTATTGTAATATGGTCGAGGAGAGATTTCTAAATGAAATGCACAAACACTTATGATTTCATCGGTCAGAGATGTAGGGAAGGATCATGCACCCATACCATGCGGTGTAATTGACGCACCCTTTTTTCCATGTCAAGGAGCATCTTACACGTTGCAGATGTTGCTGCTCCGCATACAGGACTGTGATTTTTCACCATGCAGGAAGGAGAGTCGCATATATATGAAACTTGTCTTGGATTCATCCCTTTTTGACATGGTGTTTTGGATTGATGATATATAATTTTTCTTTGCTTGGTTCTCTCATTTTTCAACGGCCATGGCCAACAGTACAATACATGTACCAGCCTGAGGCCTATTATGACTGTTTGTGGGTAGGAGATCTCCATCTCCCAGAATCAGTATCTCACGATTTGCATTTTAGATCCATGTGGGATGGAAGAGGCCGCAGGAGGATTTTCGTATAAGCCCACAGATGAGACAGGTGTGAATCCTATCAAAAGTATTTCCAGTCAAAGCACCATATGAGGCACGCCTGAAACTTGTACCTCCTCCAGGACTGTGCAGTCGTAGGAAATTCAATGTCCAAATGTTCAAACTAATCTGACCCAGCAGCAGCAGCAGCAGCGGCGGCGGATCTTCAATGGGTAGTGATCTCCACTTCGGGAGAGGCAAGGGTTACCGTTCCTGTGGCCTGGGCTCAATAGTCTTCATTAGCTGCTGCAGGTTGATGTCAATGCGAGGCTCCCTGTCATCGGGTTTTGTCAGGCACAGGAACTATCCCACGCCCACCCGAGCCACCCGCGCCCCTGTGAAAGAGAACATTGCGACATATAGCCTCCTCAATTCATAGCCCCAAACTAGGTTTAGTTCCTGAACGGCCGGAGACATCAACCAGATTTCCACAGTTTGCAGACATACAAAGTTGGGAGGAGCATCTGGATGCAAGGCGCCCGTTTTGCACGCCCGTTTTTATGTATGTACGCGGTATGCTTCTGGCCGTGGAGACAAAGTTGCACAATGCCAATCGGCCTCTGCAGGTTGTGGACAGTAGATTTTATGGCTATTATCAGAATCGAATAAACGATGCAGAATGTCAAAAAAGGAAAAAGGAGAAATTGGAGCATGAAGTTCAACTTCCGCAAGCCCCTAACTCAACGACCGAATTAAGATTTAGCGTGGTGATGGTTCAGTACTCCGTACCAGGTCCAGCGAGGCGGGTGCCGGGGAGATATGAACTGGCTTCCGGGGCATCGCCTTGCCTTCCCGTTATTGGCCACTGATGCAGGTGTCCATGCTGCTTGGAACCTTGAACCGGAGGTGGCAGTTTGCTGTCAGGGCAGGCAGGGGCTGGAATGGAGGGAAATCCGGGCAAGGTGTTCGTTTAGTTACCCCAGCTCAGTTCTGATATAGAGAAACCATCAATATCCAGTGCTCTCTTATATTCTCGTTTTCTTTTTATGTACGGAGAACTTTTCGTGGTAAGGCGCTAATTTTCCCAAGGGAGTGTGAGGCGGCGGATCAGACGTCCGGATTTGCAACCAGGCGCATACGTCTTCCTTTCACAAGGTCACAAACACTAGTAGGAGGCAGTTTAGTTGATGCTTCCCGCTGATGATAGATCTAAAATCCTGGTGGGCCTGGAACGGTTTGCAGGCTGCACAGCTGCGTCGCCCATCCCTATGGACCCTGCCATTTCTCCCGCAGCCAGCGTTATAAAACAACTCGTAGCCTCCGTAGTCTTGTTGTAGCTTCTTCTCCGCCCTTGAAAGAGACGTTTTCGAATAACCTGAACAAGCGACAATTGAAGAAGAGGCTGCAAGACCTCACACCGGCCTGATTTGAAAACCCAGTCAGCCCAATACATTATTGCAGCTATATCAACCCCAGCGAAGACAGAACGGATGATCATGGCCTTTGCCAGAGAATTGGTTTGAGCTATTTGCAGACCCTTTTCCGGTAACCACTCATGGGCTGTTCAGGATAGTCCAGTTTTCGATGCGTTAAGTTCCATCAAGCGGCGGTTTCTTCTTGGTCTCTCAGTCTCTCCATCGATTCGACTTCCTCCCCCCAATCGCTCGGAATGGATTGTTGTGGAAAACTATTGACTGGATCTCCTGTCTGATGCCCATG